TAATAAAGAAAATATTTATTTATTTTCACTAAAAAGCTAGGGTATGTGGGCTCTGATCAACTGTTGGTTGAAAAACATCTGCAATTCATCTTTGTATATAGTTGTTAAAAAACAATAAAACACATCATAGTATATTATTTAAGATAGATACAATTATATCACTTACCTGTTTTCCATTAACATACAATTCTGTTTGCTTAACATTGCATTTTCCTCATTAAATGATATACCTACCTCAGTATTTGAATAATATTGATAAGGTATTAGATTAATTTTCTTGAATTYATAATAAATATCTGTCTGTTGACTACCCTATATTTAATTAAGATAAAAAAAAGCTGCAGTGTAGTTCAGTACCTATTGTATTATAATAATTACAACAAAAATTAATAGTATCTGAAACAATTTTTTCACCAAAAATATAGGTATGCAAAGTAATTATCAGTATAAATAATAAGTACCTAGTCTAAATGTATTAGTCTACCATTACTGAAATAGATAGACTTAAAACAATTAATTCATAAGTATGAATTACAATTAACCAGCATTACTGTTRTTATAAGGCAAATAATATTATGTATTTTAGACATTTTAATTTAGATAAATATAAGCAAAAATTGCAATAATAATACATTATTATACTATTTTACAATTAGCTTGAAATTAACACAGACCTTGTCTGCTTACTAGAGGAAAAAAAATAAACATTAACATAATATCCACACTAATGAGAAAATATTAGTAATGCGTGTCATACAGATACCTAGGTATTATAGATCCGTTATAACTTATAAGTAATAARTGTTGGGCAACTTTCAGTTTCCAAAAAACACAAACCTAGCATAACTATTGGTCATATAATATGTTAAGTTTAAAATGTCTTACCTTTAAGTATTTAACATTAAAATACATTATAGAAAAATTTACATGGGGCGAACGACACAAACAAACATTAATACTCTTTTTTGGCATGGTTATCTCATATGGGTTGAGAGTTAATCTGTCAGTTGCCATTGTAGCCATGACTGACAAATCAAGCGCCAACACACATTTTATAGTGAGTATGATAATATATCATAATACACAAGCAACTAGTTCTTTAGGTAATGGCATAAAACTTATATTAATATAAAATAACTGTTCAGGAGTTGCCCTGGAATGAATCATCTAAAAGCACAGTATTAAGCTCATTTTTTTGGGGATATCTAATAACTCAAGTATACGCTGGGCAAATGGCMCAGAAGTATGGAGGCAAATATTTCTTGACTGGTGCATTAGGAGTCAGTGGCGTCTTGACAATATTCACTCCAGCATCAGCGATACACGGTGGTGTATTAGTTATGTGTGCAAACAGAATGGTTCAAGGAATGGCACAAGTAAGTTGAAACAATGAGTGGAAATTTAAAAAAGTTTTCATACATTTATGTTTATTTATAGTACTTTTAAGCTACATAGTTTTAAAATTTAATGGTATAATAGGGTTTTCTTTTATAAACAAAATTTCTAATAAATATTAACATTTATATAATGAATAAAATGGTTGAGATTTATAATATTTACTATATTGAATGAAGAGGGTATATTATAAGTTCAGTGATACTACTTAAAGGTAGGTAGAAAAGGTAAAATAAAATAATATGCTAGTAGTAGAYATTTTAATAATCTATTTTATTTATTTCTTAATTACCAAATGGGAAAATTTTGAATAAGTAACCTTTGGCATAAAAATCATGTCTCAAATTCTTTTTATCAACTTTTTTCAAGCYATTAAAGAACATATTACAGATACTAATACAACCAGTAGTCATAGCTTAACTTTAAATTGAATTACTTATATAAATTTAAATTGTGTTTTATATCTGCTATATAGCTTATAAGTATAGAACTTAATATCTTCTACATTAAAAAACAGACATATTTCGTTACAGGGTTTCATATTTCCAGCAGTTAATGTTTTATTATCAAAATGGGCACCTACATCAGAAAAAGGACGTTTGATTTCATTTGTGTTTAGCGGCACACAATTTGGATCATTGGTTATGCTTCCTACCGCAGGTCTATTAGCTAGTAGTTCAGGAGGTTGGCCAGCTATATTTTACGTTGGTGGTGCTTTGACATTATTATGGGTACTTGTTTGGTCTTTAATGGGAGCTAACAGCCCATCAGAACATCAAACTATAAGTGAGGCAGAAAAAAAATTCATTATTAACTCATTAAGTAATACAACATCCAATAAGGTAAATTAATAAAATTCTAATAATTATACAATTAAATATTATAATATGGTACTTTTGYAGCCTTTACCAACTCCTTGGAGTAAGATATTTAAGTCAATTCCTATGTGGACACTTATAATTGTGCATTTAACACAGAACTTGGGCTTTTGGATTTTATTAACAAACATGCCAACCTACATAAATTATATATTACAATTTGACATTAAATCAGTAAGATATTTACAGAATTATTACTACGTTCAAGTTAATTAACTATATATTATTATTTAGAATGGATTTTTATCTGCTATGCCATACTTAATCATGTGGATCCTGATTATAGTATTTTCCTGGGTCAGCGATTACATTAGAACACATGGTTTGATGACGAATACAAACCAAAGGAAAATTTGGAATAGCTTAGCTCATTGGGGTGGAGCTTTAGCATTAGTTTCACTCTATGTATTTGACACATCAACTACTGGAGCATTAGTCTTGTTGACTGCAGCTCTTGGTTTAAACAGTGGTGTTTTCACAGGTTTTTTGACCAATCATTTAGATTTGGCACCAAATTTTGCAGGCACATTATTAGGAATTACCAATAGTATAGCGAATCTTACATCGATATTGGGACCATTATTAGTAGGCTTCGTTGTAACGGACAGTGTAAGATTTATATATATATATATATGTATTTGTAAATAACTATAAAATGTAAAGGTATTTTTTGTTTTAGCGTAACAAAGACCAATGGGGCATAGTGTTTTTATGCTCAGCTGGTGTCTTCTTCATTGGAAACTTATTTTATGTTATATTTGGAACCGCTGATACTCAATCGTGGAATGATCCATTGATAAACAAAGAAATAAAAACAGGCGATAACAAAGACCCATGAGTTACCACAATAAAATATTTGAAGGGAATCAAATGTAAATTTATTTTTAATTATTTAAATATAAATAATTTACTCTAAATAGTTTAGTATCATTAATGATAGTATTTATTTATAAAATTTTAAAAATTGTGTATAAAATTATATCAATAAAAACAAATTATACTTCTAACTGTAAAAAAATGTCTCCTTTATCAATCACCCAACCTAGAACACATCACAAGATTTGAATTTATTTTTCAACAATCACAGAAGTGTTAATCAGCGCCCAAAGTAGTGTGCAAAGCCATTATGATTTGTTGAGTCATTTATTACCGCAACCATTTTGGATCATCCCAAAAATCGCATTTGACATGCAAAACTACACTAAAAACAATCTGTACGCAGATTCGAAACAAATATTATGTAACTTGTAATAATATAATGTGTCGCCTGTTGTGGTTAACAGGGGACTTGGTAATACAAGTCCAACAGSTCAGCTGTGAGGGATAGCCTCGCCTGGGGCTGGGTTTCAGGGGACCCAATTTAGGGTCCAACAGCTTCACTGTGACCACAACAACCAACCTCAATCAGTGAATGCAGTATATTTGGACGGCAGGACTTGATAGGCAGATAAAAGTACCTGATAGTGACGATCATATTCAGATTTACAAAATCCATAAACTATCTCAATAGATATTAAGGTGAGGACAAAATCATTCATAAATAAAATAATAAAACTATCCCGAATAACTAATTGTTATAACAATTTAAAAAACGTAAAAGGTTATAGAAAATTGATACTAATTAGTGACTATTTTTAAATAATGAAAATGCAATACTTCGTAAGTATTTAAGTATATAAATATAAATCAATAATAATAGACCAAAAGATAAAATAAAATWATTTGGTAACCTAATATGTTATTTATTTAATTTTAAATTTATAAAAAAAAATTAAATTAACATTAAAATTGCCAATTTTGAAATTTCTATATACACTTTAGATTGAAATTAAAAATAATTGATTAAATATTAATAAAGGGATTCAAAGATCTGTATCCAGTCACATACAGTGGTAAATTAAAATCAAGTATTRTTTTTTGGTTTATCACGATTATATTTTAGAATCATCTTAAGATTTTTCACTCAGATTTTATTAGTATAATATATTTAAATAGATAATTTAAAATAAAATCTCAATTCTGAATACCACTGTAATCACTTTTAGGTGATATAATAATCTTCAAATAATTGGCAATAAGAAAATTGAATGGAGGATTAATAAACTTTCATTAATGAAGTACTCACCATTTTTAGAGGATTCACTTTATAGAAATAATTGAACCAATTTTCAGATATGTGCTTACATTTATTTGAAAAAAAAAGAATATGCATGGTAATAATCAAATTTTTTTAAAAGAAAATTTGATTACAATGCATTTCCAAAGATTTAGTATTATAAAACAAATATTTCTTACCTCTTGAATTACATCATACACACGTACTTAATGTATAATAAATTATAATAATGTAATGATAATAAATTTGTTAATGATTTAGAATAATAAAAGTGTGTTTTCTTGTTTTCATTTTTACAATTGTATTTTAATTCTAATATGTTAGTAATTAAAACCCTAAACATTAGACCTTAAATTAATTTAAAAATGCAAAGTGACATACCAAAGTTTACAGAATTCTGAGCCGCGTCATCTGAGAAATCAGTAGGCACGTTATATATCTAAACCTAAAAACACGCTTTTTTGAGATGAACAATGAATTTTTACTATATCTTATACGTGAGTGATTAGTACTTACTCATTCTCACAACATAACACTATATAAATAATTAAAACACATTCAACAACATTTTTTTTTTTTTTTTTTTTATATATATAAACAA